ATTTTTAAAATTTGTGATTTAAAATATTTTATACAATCTGTATTGTTTCATAAAGCTTCATACTCCCAACAGAGATGTTTACAGGATTCTTTATTACAATAAAACATGAACTCATGATTGAGTAAAAAAAAAAAAGTTTGGTGTTTTAGAATTGAATGTGATGTATGTATAAATATTTGCACAGCTGTTTTATTACTACATGCAACAAAAAACAACTTCTTTGTACAACTCAAATGTGAATAATGTGGATCTGTTCATTTATTTTGTTCAGTCTTCAAGCTCATTCTCCTCAGCTTCCATGTCTTTACTCTTGCTCTTGGCAGCATTCCTCTTCCTCTTCAGTTCTTGGTTGTTCAAAGCCAGTTCTTCGCTTTTCTGCTGAATGTAGTTGTACTGGGAAGGTATAGCAAAGGTACAATGTTTTTTCACTCATTTGATAGAACTGTAAAATCTAAATGCGCTTAAATGGCAACATTTCCTTGTAACTTACAAATATGATATTGTATTAAATATGATGTAATTACATGAGAACTTAAAAATCCTGTTAAATTTAAAAAGTTAATATTTTCATTAAGTTACAATATTTCACCACTTATGTACTTACGTTTTTTATATTAACTTAAATATTGACAGTTCATGGTTTATGGAGGTTTTTTTTTTTTATAATTTCAGAATTCATAAAATTTGTATGAAAAATGCTTTTTGTTTTTTACTATGCCAAGACTTCTGAACACAATTACCTTAAGGTAAAACCCCCCAAAATAAATTTTTTAAAATGTATTTTTTGGGGTGGGGCCTTGCACATGGATTGCAAAAAACATGTTTTAATATGTTTGATCTCTGAAATCTTTCTACCAGTGCAGTGGTTCTCCTCGCTGTCAGCTTTACATCATCTACTGTAACTGTGTGTCTTTTAGCATGCCTGCAAACATTGAAGAGAAGCGTCAGTACAAATAAAGCATCTTCCTTACGTGGTTAATTACTGAGGAGAAACTACTTTTGAGGGTGAAGTTTACCTCGCAAACGCTTCCAAGTCCTTGGCAAATATATCTAGAGGGAAGAAGACACAGGATGAGCGTGAATAAATATCGTTTAATCTCGTCAATGTCACAGAATCAAGCCTTACCGCACTGTCTGGACGCAGTCTCTGCAATAGCTGCTATTGTCTGTTTAGTGATCTGTTTCTCGCAGTCTGCGGCGATGTGTTGACAGAGACGGCCGACAGTGTAATGCACAGCTGCTTTAAGCCTCTATAAAACACAGAAATACTGGCAGTGTGAGAGAGAAAAAGTTTTTTACAATGACAAAAAGTAGCGAAGTATATCATAGACATTACGCATCAGCTGGTCATTGAGTTTTAGTGTTGTAACCTGTTTTTGTGTTTCGTCCTCATCCATTTTCAGTAGATAAATAAGGTAAAGCTCAACTCTAATTTTAGGCGTTACAAAAAATAGCGCGAATTGTGTTCTTCACGTTGTAGTGGCGGCGTCAGCGTTTATTATCGCCGTAGCAGCGCCTCCTACTGATGCGGAGCGAATGTCAGTCAAGATAAAGAATATAGAAAGAAATATGTTTCTTTTATGGATCGTTCCTCAATATATGATGATGTCACACGGGGAAGTTACAAGTGATTATTTCTGTTTGTTCCTTCACTAAGAATAAAGCATTCAATACTGTGGAAACCACTGCTGTGTTGGGGTTAGTTGACACAACTGCACAACATTTTAGTCATGGATTAACTAAATGTAGGAAAACTGTGCCAACCAGTCTCAGTCTCCCTTACTTCAATATTTGTTTAGATCTTTAAATCAAGTCTCATGCATTACAAGACAAAATAAACTCAGCCCTTTGAACTGAAATCAATAATTAACTGCAGTAGGCCTATAGCACTTATAATAAATGCATCAAATATGTCATTTTCTGTGGAATTTATTGAAACATAACTTTTTTTTAATTGAAACAAAGTTGCTTGTCAAATCGCTTTAACGTGCTACAAATAAGAAAAGTGACAGACTCCTCACAAGACATATTTTTGGAGACACTCTTGCGTTCCTCTATGCTTTCCCCCCTTTTTGTAATGCTATGTTCACTTGTTTGAGAATTGATTAATGCTGAAACCGTCTGTATGTTATTATTCTTCAATAAACTTGCAAGAATTTCAGTTCAACACAATGGTGCAAGCAGTTCTTTCGTAGGTTTGCTTGCAGATCTGGTCTTCACATCTAAGTTCCTTTAAGAGAAAAAACGTTTAAGTTTATTTTTTTTATTTGGCATTTTTATACATTTTATCTGAAAATTACATTACATGTATATTGTTGTGTTCTTAGATTTTAAGGCCTACGCTTGACTCACAAGGTAAAGAGTGTCTCCCTCCATCCAGTGTGTCCATCCTCTGTTCTTCTTTTCTCCTTTCTGCACACACACAAGTTTGATTGTCCCAGTTGACTGTTGTCTGTGGGAAAAAAATAAAATAAAATAAAATAAAATA